AATCCTCCTGCCTCGGCCTCCCAGAGTGCTAGGATTACAGGTGTGAGCCACCACGCCTGGCCTCTTCTTAGTATGTTAAAATAGATTTTTCTGAAAATGAAAATTTTTAGGGCCATATTTCCCTTCCTCTACTTTCCATATAGAGAACCTCCACAGGCTTCATTTACATGAAAACCTTTAGTTAAGTGCTTTAATATGTCCCCAAACCCTGTATTGTGTAACCCTGGTGAAAATGAAGCAAATGTGGAAACTTCCTAAGGAATTTACTTTCTGGTGGGAAAGCTGCAGGTACACAGGTGGTCTGTGGTGTGATTAGGGGAAGCACAGAGAGCTGTGACATTCTGTAGGGGACGTATTTCCTCTAGCTTTGGGAGTTCAGGTATGGTTTTCTGTAGAAGATAATATCTAAGCCAACCTAACCAGTAGAGTATAGAGTAGTGGGTAAGAAAGGAAGAAGTATTACATATTCTCTTTTTTTTTTTGAGACAAAGTCTCACTGTGTTGTCCGGGCTAGAGTGCCATGGTGTCAGCCTAGCTCACAGCAACCTCAAACTCCTGGGCTCAAGCAATTCTTCTGCCTCAGCCTCCAGAGTAGCTGGGACTACAGGCATGCACCACCATGCCCAGCTAATTTTTTCTGTATATTTTTAGTTGTCCAACTAATTTCTTTCTATTTTTAGTAGAGACGGGGTCTTGCTCTTACTCAGGCTGGTCTCAAACTCCTGACCTTGAGCGATCCTCCCACCTCAGCTTCCCAGAGTGCTAGGATTACAAGCATGAGCCACCATGTCCAGCCTACATATTCTGAGAAGGAGCCAAAGGGCAGACCTGGAAGTGAGACAGAGTGTGCATATGGGGAATTGCTTCTTTTCTAGTCTGGCTCATAGACTAGAATTGATGAGAGAAATGAGTAATAAAGGGAAGTACAGAACTGACTTACCAATTTATGAGTTTTCACCTTTATGGTGGTGTGCAAGTGATACATATTTAATAGAAACTGTACTTTTGAGTATATAACCATTCTGTTTTTCACTTTCAGTATACTATTTGTGTTAGATGGTTTTGCCCAACTGTAGGCTAATATAACACGTTTAAGGTAGGCTAGGCTAAGTTGTGATGTTCAGCAGGTTAGGTGTATTAAATGCGTTTTTGACTTAACAGTATTTTCAACTTATGATGGGTTTATTAGGGTGTAACCCAATCATCGGTCACGGAGCACCTATAATTAAGCATATGTTATATCTTTCAGAAGAGCTGTTTTGCAGGGTAGTCAAATAGCATTAGTAATTGAAAGAGATTTTTTTGTTTTTACAGAATAATGCTAGCTAATAAAGGTAGAGGTAAACAGTTAGAAAATTACTACTTTGCAGTATCTAACAAAATAATTGATTGCAGCAAGGATTGTCAGTGGATGTTGGATCCATCAGGTGAAAGGTTGATGGGTCTTCAGTTACTATTGCTGTGTAACAAGTTACCCCACAATTTAGTGGCTTGACAACCATTTTAATTTTGCCCACAGAGTCTGTGGATCAGAAATTAAGACAGGCATATTGGTTTGTCTCTGTTCCATGGCCAGGAGTGATTAGACAGCCATGGCAGGAATCCTTTGGAGATATCATCATTCATGATATGAAGGTTGATACTGATTGTTGGTTGGTACCCATCTGGGGCTATCAGCTAGAGCTCCTAGATGTGCCTGGGCTTCTTCACAGCTTGGCAGCTTCAAGGTATAGCTTCTTATATTGCAGTTCAGGGAAATGAGTGTTCCAGTAAACAAGGTAGAAGCTGCATTGTCTTTTATGACCTTGTATCAGAAGTCTTATAGCAGCCAGGCACTATGGCTTAAGACAGAAATCCCAGCTACTTGGGAGGCTGAGGTGGGTCACTTGAGCCTAGGAGTTTGATGCTTCAGTGAGCTATGATAGTGCCACTGTGCTCCAGCCTGAGGTACAGAGTGAGACTTCCATCTCTTAAGAAAAAAATACAGTGTCACTTTTGACTACATTTTATTGGGTACAGTCAAATCACAAAGGTTGGCCTAGATTCAAGGGAAGGGAATGTAGACCCTCTACTACCTGATGGGAGAAGAATTTATGGGCGTGTTTTGGTATCAGTGTCGAAGTGATTATTTGCATGGTGGCAAAGTGTTATGTTACTTAATTACTTGATAGCCTCAAAGGGAAAACTTTACAGTGGAGGAGTTAGGCAGACAATACCCTAACTCAGTCAGCAATCACATGCCGGAAAGGAAAAGAGACATGTTTCTGAGTGGGGAAAAAACAGAAGTTTTAGACACATATGTGCAGCATGGTATCCTTAATGTTCTGCATCAACCCCCAAGTTTTTGAAAGAAGAGCAGCTTGCCTTTTCTCCATTCATGACTCTAAGCTACATTTTTTTCCTGTGGTAAGCAGCTGCAGATCTATGGGAGGCTGGGCTCTGGAATTCTAGCAGAGGAACTAGTGTGGTGTATCCTGTCCTATGGGAAAAAACTGCAAAGCAGTGGATCTCCAGAGAGTTTGAATTTTAGCGATCTGTGAACCTTCTTGGGTGAACATTAATCTCACTTGAGTGCCTTCAGGACTCCCATAAGGCCAAGAGAAGGCTGAATTGGTGAGTTGAATCTCCCTTGCCTGTAAGCCTGGAAGGGTATAGAAAAGGCAGAGAGGCTTTCTCCATGTTCCTCAATAGGAGACTGTTGGCTTGTTATCTCAAAGATCTGAAAGGGGTAAAAGATCCTTTTGAAGCCCTTTATAATATCTCAGTCAGACCTGAGCCTCCTTGGGGCTGCAGAGGAAATAAGTGCTTTATATAAGGAGGGTTCAGCAGCCACAAAAAGCTCAAGCAAAGCAGTCAGAATACATGCCAGTGACAGAGCTGCTGCGGAGCTGTAGCTTCCAGAGAGGAGAATGAGCACACTACTGGGCGCACACACACAAGCAGCAGCACTAAAACAAAACATAATTGTTGCAGAGCCTGTATAGCATGGATTTCAAGCAAATTCAGTAGACAAATAAAGATGTGGACAGTCACCACTGGGCTTGGGTTGGAGGCCTTGGGAGATCAATGCAAAGCACAGAGCATAACCGAAATAGAAACTAAAGGGAAGACAGGTGCTTTGGAGGATATATCCAGGAGACTTAACATACCCATGATGGGATTTCCAGAAGGAGAAAATGTGAGGCACCATGGAAACAAAAATAGAAAAATTTAACTGAATTGAAGAAAGGTCTAATTCTGTAGGTTGAAAGGGCTCATTGGATTTTATGAGATTGAGATTGACAAAATGAGATTGAAGAGAAAAACACATATTTGGGTATATTTTAATAAAATTTTTGAATCCTAAGGATGAAGAGAAATCTTACAAACTTCAAACAAAAAATTATATTGCCGTTGGACTTTTTTTCTGCAACACTATAAAAGCCATAAGATAAGAGAGAATTTATAGACAACTGAGATAAAAGGGACAAAAATCAAGTTTCCTATACCCAGACAAAATAGCATTCAGCTGTTCACCTGTCAGGATGATGATTGATATTTGAGAGTGTTGAAGAATTCATTGTGTGTATCACCCTCTCACCCCATTTGAAGAAGATACGTAGAGGACTAATTAATCAAACCAGTACAGAGAACATTGGCCTCAAGATGGTAGACAATGAAGAGGAGAATAAACAAAATGAGCAAAATCCATATAAAAATGATACTACATATTTTCTATGGGACATAGATGTATAGATGTGAATACATGGGGAAGAAGTGTGGATAGTATGTACCAAATGCTAGAGTGGTTATTGCTGAGAGGGATCAGGGTACTATTTGAGGTAGTGGTCACAGAGGACTCCAGCCTTCTCTGTGAAGTTTTCGGTTTATGTCAGAATAGATCTAAATGTTACATGTGCTATATTTTTTTTAATACTTGTATTTTTTTAAAGATAAAGAGTAGGCTATTAAGGATTTTGTGCGTCATGGACTTTAGGGTTGCTAAGCAGTGAAGTCTACTTCTGTGATCTGATTTGCATTTTAGGAGATCATGTGGTAGGGAGCGGCAACCACTCTGGCTACCCTGCAGGTAGGTGGGGGGAGCAGGCTGGAGGCAGGTGTACCATTAGGAGCCTAATAGCAGCAGGAGAACTGTAAGTGCTCCAAGCTGGAAGCTATCTGTGAGCCTTTGGAATGGTTTCTTAAGCCAAACTTAGCTCCACAGTCTTACTTTGTCATAAGTCAGCTCAGTTAAAACCAGTAAAACAGCTTAAGGATGATTTGAAGAAATAAAATAGTGACATTTATTTTGTTTATTGAGATCTTCATTAATGTCTAGCCTAATCATCTTGGGAAAATAGTATGGATTTCCAAAAGATACAAGAATGATTTTTAATGGAAACATTGAACCTGAACTGTTTGACAAAAAAAGTTACCTGGATTTTGCAGTATCTATTAATCTTCTGTAAAATGGTTACCAATCCTGTAGAACTTCTGATTTGAAGTGAAATAATGGAAGAATATTTTACAGCCTCTCTGCTGGGTTTATTGTTAAAAACAACAGAAATGTGTTAAATGGTTTTTATTACCCTAGGACTGGGCACTTGGAGTCTTGCATGCCAAAATCATTGCAGCTATAACGTTGATGGGTCCTCAGTGGTGGTTGAAAACTGTAATTGAACAGGTAAGCAAAGCAAAATCAATTTTCAGAGAAAGACAATCTAGCATTGGTTGTGATTATGTTTGGCTGATGGAACTCTTATTTTTCATTTTGTGACGTTTCTGAGTTTTCTACATTTTCTTTAATGAGTGTATATATATGTGTGTGTGTGTATGTGTGTATGTATGTATGTATTTTTTTTTTAAAGAGAAAGCAGTTTTACCACTGTAGGGGAGGAAAAATAGTATTTTCCTCAACCCTCATGAATTTTCAGTTGAGATGGATGCCTATAATAAAAGACAGATAACCAAGAGAAAAACAGAAGTTGATTAAAGTATATATTTCCTATCTATGTAGGAGATACCCAGAGAATGAGTAATTCTTGAAGAAGTAGCTTTGAATTCTAGCTAAAATGTTCAACAAAGAATAGTAAATTTTGGGGAAAGTGACAAGACAAAGGAAAAGGACTTGGAGTCTCTAGGGGTGACACATTGAGGGAAGGCAAATAACTGGCACATCTAAAGGCTAGGTTAGTAAAGCTTGTTCCTGTAGATTCCTCTGGTGCCATCTCCAGGCCCAAAAGGGTCTTAAGATGTCATCAGGTTAACCTTTGTCCTTCCTGGTGGAGGGGGAGGGTGGTAGGTTACCTTTTATCTTTGTGAATTTATGGCCTGCTTTTAGACATATGGAGGGCAGAGAGCTTTCCTGCATCTGCTATTTCTCAGTTGCCATCAGCTCAAAACAATCCTTAATGCCAAAGAGGCGTATTTTGAGATGGCATAGTCTGGTCTCCCATACTGCTGAGAAAAGAAAGGAACTTTTATCTGAGGATTGCAAGTTTTTTTAATAACCAGGCCCAGAGAGACATTAAAGTGAGACCACAATCATGTAATCTCCCCTCCCCGCTTTGAGCTATGTATTCATCTCTTGAAACTGCTTGTTACTGCCACAAGTAGCTATAAAATTAATAATGCTGCATTGGCCACTCTAACCCATACCCTGTAGCTTAACAATGTATAGCCAATCGCTAATCAATGTTATTTCTCTAAACCAACAAACAACTTTGTATCAGTACTCCCTGTACCCCGAGATCCCCTTTTCTGACTTTAAAAATCCACTTGTAACTGCTGCTGATGGAGGTGTATATTCAGGGCAACTTGAATCTATGCTTCCGGGTTGCAGTCCTCAATCTTGGCCCAAATAAACTCTCTACATCATTCATTTTGCCTTAGCTTCTTCCTTTTAGGTTGACATTACCATAAATTTTCATCAGCCACTCTTAAGTCTTCCCTTATCTGAAGATTAACCAGTAGCTTAAAGTAGCTAGAACTCTATCCAAAGTAGAGGCAAAATGATGGCTTTTTTTCAGGACAGGAGTTCTGCTGAAACTTAGTATTAATGTTTTGAAGCCTATAAGAGATTAGGAGGAAATGGGTTATTGCTTGAGGCAATAAATAAAAGAAAAGGCAAGGAGAAAAACAGATTAATAAAGCAGAGCTGTTTAGGAATATTCTAGCTACATAGCACCTAAGACTATGATTGTATTATGGATCTATAAGATAATTTGGTTGTTGTGGTGATAACCTTGAAAAAGGTAGATTGTGCTTTTGTACTCTGATAATAAGACTAGAAGTATGGTAATTCATTTTAGGAAAATTTCTATCCAAAATAGCCAATGTAACATTTTGGTACTTATGCCTTTAAGCTTTAGTTATCTAGAAAATGTACTTGTGGACAGCCCTCTTATCCCTAGATCAGTGCCAGATAAATAAGGTGGTGCAGTTCTGCAGCAGTAAAGGGCACACCTCCTTTGACATATGGGCAGTAAAGATGATAGTTCTCAGCCTGCGCACAAGAAAATGCCTGTACCTCGAGATTTTGATTCTTAGGAGTGGAGTGGGGGAAGCTGGGGAATTGCTGTGTGTTTGCTTGTATCTCTGAAGTATGGGCTAATTCTGAAGTCCACTGGGAATGTGATCACACTGCAGGCCAGTCTAGTCTAGAGTGTCCAGGTAAAACTCTGGCCTTGCAAAGGTGTGAAGAGATAAGGATTTATTTACAGCTGGGAGCTGTGAATCATTACTGATCTTTGTAACATTTTGTTCTCTAATGCATTATTTTCTCATACTTGTGTGTTCCTGTCCAGGCGGGTCTGTGTTTGTGTGTATAAATTTTAAGGAAAATGGTTTAGATTGGTTGAGAATCACTGGGATGCCTTGCTTCCTTATTAATTAAAAGGCATTTGGGTTAACTAGGTGTCTTTGCTAATGGAAGCATGCCTTCGGAGGGTTAAGCCTGTTTGTCATTCAAATCCTGAGGTGATAGGATTGAGTTACTCTGCATTGGGTAACTGTGCTAAGAGGGAAAGAAAACAAGACCAGCACTCTTCTGTCTTATCCCTCTCTGCACTCCATCCATATTGCCTGTTCCCAAGGTTTTCCCACTTCTATCCAGTCTTTCCTCTGCAGTACTATTTAGTACAACTTTCTGGATAAGATGATGAAAAATTCTAGAAATTCTTGGATTTTTATTTTTGTATTCACTACAGAATTTTTTCATACTAAGGTTTTATACGTAAAATACCTTTTGATTTGTTAAAATTTGATTTATACAAGCTTTTCAGAAACATGTTCCTGTTTACAATGTTTTCTTGTCACATTCAGATGAAATGAATGCAATCTTAAGTAATAACACAAATCACTCTTTACTTAAGATATTTGAAATTAGTGCAAGTTATGTGGTCTTCAGCTAATACCGTTGACTGTCATCTGGTATTGTGTAGCGTAAGGATAGTGTAAGTTATGATTCTAGATAAGTGTCTTGTTTTATCACTTAGCAGCATTAACTCCAAAGTGTTAGTGGGTAAATACACTTCTTTAGAAACTTACGGGTAGTGTGCTTATGTTTGTCTTCCAGAATTTGCCTTGACTTTGGAAAAAATAACTGGTTAGTTTGAATCCTTTTGGGTTGGTGGATTTAGTTCATTAATTAGTAGAGATTGCTCTATTAATCTGGAAGAATTTGTTTTATGTCTTTAGTTCTAATTGGTTGTTTTTCAATGTTTCAGGTTTATGCAAATGGCATCCGGAACATTGACCTTCATTATATCATTCGTAAACTGGCAGCTCCAGTGATCTCTGTGCTCTTGCTTTCTCTGTGTGTACCTTATGTCATAGCTTCTGGCATTGTTCCTTTACTAGGTGAGTAATGCTGGTTATGGTTGCTTCCAGTAACAAAGGCTGTCTGACTCCAGATGCTTTATTTGTAAATATAAATTTAGCTAAAACAATGACTTCAAAACACTACCTTAGATTTGACTACGTGGGGTAAGATGAGAAGGATCATCAGGTTCTTCTGTGCGTGTTTTTTCTCTAGACGGATGATAAAGTATTGAAATTTATATGTGCTACAAAACCAAATCAGATATCCTTCAAGTTACCTTCTCCTGACTAGAAGTGCTGTGATCATATACTTATAAAATTAAGTAAAAGTATTGTTATATCTAATTTTTAAAAAATATTCTTTAGCATAGAAGGAAAACCAAAGAGGAGATGATAATGTATGACATGTCAGTAACTTGAAAGACATTATCTTTTTGATTGTGTACTGAAGAATCCTCATAAGACCTTAAACTCAGCATATTTTCAAAAGTACAAGCACAGTTTTCCCCTCCAAATTTTTTTTTCTCCTGAATTCCCTTAGTGACTAGTGTTTTCCAACAAATTGCATAAGTAAGAAACCTTGAAGTCTATCTGTGTTGTCTTAGGCTCCCTTTTCTCCTTAGCCCAGTGGTTTCCAAGCCCCATTGATCGTGACCTCAGGTACTGAGGTCTCTCTTCTCTGGTGCCTTTGCTCTTGACTTTTGTTGTGTTGTTGACTCTCAGCTTAACTTCAGCAGCCTGCTATCTGGTTTCCTAGCTTCAGACCTGCTAATAATAATTCATTCTCCATGCTGTGGCCACAGTGACCTTTCAAAAGAATGACTCTCCCTATACCTCTTTGAACTTTTTTCCATTGGTTCCTCCGTGGCCTTTAATACAATCCAACTCCTTGGCATATTTTATAAGAAAATATTTTACGTTTTCTTGCTTTGATCTGGACTCCAGTTTGGCCTCATTCCATGTTATGTACTCTGAGTTTCCATTACAGAACCATGGAATGGCCTCCTCTCAAACACACCATGGCCTCATTTCCCCACTCCTCTCTCTACACCTTCATTTGTCTTACCCTTCTGCCAGAAATTCTTTTGTACCTAACCATGAGAAAGGGGCTTAAAAACACAGACAAACTTTCTGTTGAAGTGTAACATGCATACAAGTGTGTAATAGAATGTTCCTAGCCCCTTAGAAGTCCTCTTTGTGAGTGGCCTTCTTTATCCTTCAGGCTAACCACTGGCTTGACTTCTAACAATCTCATTGCTCTCAGTGAATAAAGATATTAGCCAGAAAGCAAGTGAAGCACAGGTTTGACAGAGGAAGGCCATCGATGTGTCCATTAGTCTGCAGGATGGCATGGGACACAGGGAACAGTTAAGCTGAGGAGCCACAGCAAGCAAATTGCATTGTTTTTTGGTTCCTTCTGAGTAGAAACTTAAAGGCTTTTATTTGGTTTTAATGGTGACTATGGCAAGTATCATGCATGCCATGTTAAAGTATACACACAAAAATATATTTGAAGGCTGAGCAAGAGTGAGGTACCCCCTTTCCCCCCAAAATAGAAAAATTAGCTGGGTGAATTGGTACATGCCTGTAGTCCCAGCGACTCAGGAGGCTGAGGTAGGAGGATCACCTGAGCCCGGGAGATGGAGGTTGCAGTGAGCTGTGATGACGCCACTGCACTGTAGCCAGGCAACAGAGCAAGACACTATCTCAAAAAAAAAGAAGAAGAAAAAGGAAATATATTTCAAAACCTGTTGGTTAGTTGAAGAACATTTCATTAAAATTAATCATTCATTTAGACTCTTTAGAATGATATTTTCTTACTGTTTTGGCTATAGTAGGAATGACCTATTTTCTTTTTATATTCTGCTCATTAATATAGACTATATTCTGCCCATTAATAGTATATAGACTTAAGAATTACTATTTGAATTTCTAAACCAAAATCTTTTCATATTTGCATTATTAAAAATCTAATTGTGAGCTTTGTTGGAAAGACTCTGGAAGAGAAAAAGAGTAGTTAATGAAAGTTTTTAGCACTTTTTTTACCTTGTTTAAATGCTTTACATAATTCTTATATTTTATTCTTAAAATAGCTCTTGAATATGTTTCATCAACTCCATTTTAGATATGAGAAACTGAGGTTCATAGAGACTGAAAATCTCGCCCGGAGTCTAGCTTTTCAGAGATTAAGAGCAAAATTCAGACTCCAAGCTCAATTCCAGAGCTCATGCTCTTTCTGCTGTAGCACACTGTTACAATTTTTTTTCCCCTTGGAAATATTTCCTCTGATTTTATATACTTCCTCCTCCTCCCCTCCCCCAGCCAAGGAAAAGTTAAAATTCATGAATTAAATGTAGAATAACAAATATTGGAGTGTTCTAAAAGTTCGAGGAACATATTTTTCATTATATAAGCACAGTTTCTGTTTGTGTTTCTGAACCGTAAAACAGTTGAAATGTATAAATGACACCACTGCTTGTGGAGCATTAGAATCCAGACTGAGCTGGGAGGGACCTTTGTAATCATGCAATTCAGCTCCCCTGTTTTACAGAGGAGAAAAGTAGGTGTCAGAAAAGGCTCGTGACCCACACAGATTGTAGAAAATCAGTAAGACCTGGGGCTTAGAAAGCTTATCTTGAAAGCGTGCTCTACTGTACCCCAGGCCATTGTTCCTAGGGAAAGGACATACTTCATGTCACTGTTACTCCACATACAGTTTTCCTTTTTTGGTTTTACAGGTGTTACTGCGGAAATGCAAAACTTAGTCCATCGGCGGATTTATCCATTTTTACTGATGGTCGTGGTATTGATGGGAATCTTGTCCTTCCAGGTCCGCCAGTTTAAGCGCCTTTATGAACATATTAAAAATGACAAGTAAGTCAAGAATTCCATTCTTCTAGCCACTCTCATGTTGTCATCTCTTAATTTTTGTGTCTGACGTGATACATCATGGGAGGGAAAGTGCTCAGATTCTGAATATATTTTGAGGGAGGATTCCAGGATTCGCTGACAGATTGGGCGTAAGATGTGAAGGAGAGTAGAATCAAGGACTCAGTTGGCCAGAGCAATGGGGAATATGGAGTAGTCATTTATGGAGCTGGAAAAGACTGGGAGAAACTAGTTTGGGGAGGAATATGCCCATTCCAAATAGTTTTTCAGTCTGTTTTCAAAAATTTTTGTTTGACAATGTATTAAACAATTTTAGGTAAAAATAAGCCTACATTAGAAACTAGCAGTGTCTGCAAAAGCACCTCTGCTAACCATGGACCACCAGGTTACTCTGACCATTCCACAGAGAGACTCTAAAGTTACTGCAAAAGTGTCTAGGGGCTCTCTGTTTTGAGGAAACCGTGGAAAACTCTGTCACTGATCTCAGTGAGAGATTGTGGCCAGCCAGAGAAACACCTTCCTAGGGTAACATTTGACTTTCCATGTCCTAATGGAAGGCCTAATCCTCTGCTTTGATGCGTCTAGCAGAGAGAGTGAGTTTATAACTGTCTATCCCAGTTTACAGCTGCTCCCTGTGTGGCATCACTAACAAAACTCCCTGTTACTTGTATGTGCCCCACTTTGTACAGCAGATTATATAGTCACTTTATTTACTCTGAGGACTCTAAGCGTATCTTTAAGAATGAAATTCAAAGTGTGCAAGGCTTCTCTAAAGCATTTACTAACAGTAATATATACAGGTACAGTTGGGCAGTCAGAACACAAAGGGAAAAAGGGGAAGGAGTGTCTTCAGTGATGAAAG